AGTGTGGCCACTGACGTGCACCTGAACAGGTGTGTGTGCATGTACTAAGTAGGGTGAGTCTGTGGGAAGCCCCATCTGATACCTAGGGAAAATTTATGGTACAGGTACTTCCAACTCTGAAGGTCTGCAATAGCTGGGCCCTCAGTTCAGCTCACTTGACTTCAAAGTAAAAGCAAAATTAAGCATTACTTGTAAAATTAGGCTCCGGGAAGTGGGTAGACAAGAAGGGAAAACCTTTAACATGCCCCTTATGACACTAAAGACCATGATTGTAGATGGAGAATTCTGAAAGTTGTTTAAGTTGCACGGTGAACAGAGCACCAGCTCTGGCCAGAGACCATATTCGAACTGTTGCTCTGTTCCTGGCCAGCTGTGTGGTAGGCAAACTCCCTTTACCTCTTTGAACCTGTTTTTCTCATGTGTAATATGGAGGACACTTGCCTTATAAGGTTGAGATAAAATGTATGCAGTTTGGGGCAAGTAGTAGGCACTCCGTAAATGCTAATTCTTCTCAGGATTAGCCCAAGAGGTGAAGTGGCTTGCATAGGGTCACAGCTCCAAGTTGAGAAGCCGGAATTTAAGCTTGGGCCTCCCGCTTCCCAGAACCACATTCCTTCCCTCCAATTCCCCAGCAAGGGCAGCTCCCAACACCACCATTTTGTCTTCTCCCAGGGCAGGCGTCTGGCTGCCTGTCAGTCACCAGCCTTGGGAAGCCAAGTGCTGACTAAACACAGGCCTAAGCAGGGGGGTGGAGCAAGGGGCTCCACAGGGGCTAGCCAGCTCCTGCGACCCCCTCCCCCTGCACCCCCACCTTCAGTGATGAGCTGAGTGGCTGAAGAAGCGGTTGCTGACAATTAGAAATTTCTGTCCCTTTTCCCAGGATGCCAGTGGGTGATTCTCTCTGAACAGCAGGCATGACCAGCAGTCACCTACACTGCTCCTGCCCCTCTGCTCTGCTGGGCCCGGAACTGGGTCTCTGTTCGTAAATTATCCCCAGGGACAGTTACCCGCAGCAGCTGTGCTCGGAACAACCACAACCGTTGCTTCCTGGGTAGGTCATTTTTTGGGTCAGAATGTAAACCCAGCCCCCTTGCCTGAGAGAGGGGCTGCAGCAGCCTAAACCTTTTATCGGATTCCATTGTAAATCGTTCTATTTAAGGTAAGTTGCTTGGGTCTGAGAAGCAGACAAGATGCCGGCCAGATGTTGGGAGGCAGCATCAGCATTCAGCCTGTGCTCCTCTCCTGCCTGATGCAAGGAGTTACCAGCAGCTCATCTCTCCTGGTCCCAGCACACTCCCCTCAGCCAGCTAAAAGGGGCTTGGAGATCTAGGTCCCCTAATTTGGGCTTCCTCCTAAATCCAAATGGTTTCCGGCCTTCATCCCCACCTCCTGAACAGGCTGCACCATTCACACCCAGAGGCCTGCTGCTCTCTGAGCCCACCCACGCTGGACCTCCCTCCAGAGCTCTGGCCACCACCTGTGACTCTCAATGTTGCCCCCTTCTAACAACTTCTCCCGTTAAAAACACACATACACACCAGAGATGGCTGAGTGGCTACAAAGATTTTATCAAATTATTTAAAACATTGGCATTTATGTATTCACGTGTATACAGTTACATGGAATCTTCAGGTCACTGGGGGAGCTAATGTGGTACACACATGAACCTGGCAGGGAAGCAAATGAAACCAGGCTTGGAGCCACAGGGCTTTAAAAAACTGGACATCCTTCTAAGGACCTGAGAGTAGTAGGGCAAAGGGAAAAGGGTCACTTAGGGGTTTGGCTTAACCCCACTGCTCAGATTAACTGAAGGTCCTTTCCCGTCCTTGGGGAAAAGGGACCCATTTTCAGACTGTATCTCCACTACATATGTGCTCACTCCCTAAAATCTCGATATGGCAAACACACCCAAGAATCCACTGGAATAGGTCCTTATAAATGTTTACACCAGAGAAAAGAAGGCACTTTGGGAGCATTACGGTCACTTTCCTACATGTACATCATTCTAGACAGCAAGTAAAAATTGGTTAGTTTCTCAAGTGAGTTAACTGAATAAAGTTAATACAATAACATTGTTCCCTAGCACTCACTGAGGCACAGAACCAGGCACGTCTCTGGGCAACACCTGGTCCCCAGGTCAGCTGGACTCCAGTACAGCTCACAGTCTGATGCCCCTAGGAAGTCTGACATGTCTCCTGAGCAAAAGCCCCTGGCCTTGGGGCACTGCCCCATCCCCAGGCTCTGAAGTCAGGCGAGGGGGGCTGCAGTGGGAGGCACAAGGAGAGCAGAGCTGGGACACGGTGGGAATGCTTAAGCAGGGTCACCAAAGCCACAGAGACCTCAATCTGTCCAAGCTGGCGCTGCAGAGCCGGAGGATCGGCGCCACGGGAAGAGATTTCACATTAGCCCTGACAACACCGCCTCAGCTCTGCGGTGACATTGGCCAGGGTCGTTTCTGAGGGCGCTCGAGCTTCTGGAGGCAAGCTGAAGCTTGGGTCCGCTGCTGAGCTTTCAAGGGATCAAGAGCCTGCCCCCTCCCTGAGGCTGCTCCTTTGGAATGTAGTCATCTCACAACCTGGGCAAAACCACCAATCACTTCTGACACTGCCTGCCGGTTGGAAGCTGGGCCCCTGGGCCACAGGAATGGGGGCAGGTCCCCTGGGCTGAGGAGACCAGGAAGGGAGGTGGTTCCTTGACTTCAGCGCTTAAGAGTCCTTACAGGCCATTGTTCCATATGGTTACCAGCCTCAGCCCAGTTTAAATAAATCACTAAACTTTGCATTCTACAATTACAGGATTCCAAAGACACATGATTACCTGCACAGGGTCCTTTATCATCTTAAATGGTTCTGGGTTTAAAGAAGTATTTTGGGGGGTATACCAATGCATAAGGAGAGCGCAGCTGACTAGGTCCCAGCCCACCCCCCACCCCCACCCCCAGCGGAGGAGGCTTCGCTGGGCCGGCTGCTACAAAGTGCCGAGCTTGGCTGCATAGATTTTAATGAGAACGTCAGGCAGAGCTGTGCTGTTGCTCTCCGGGACTTGCAGATCATTACCAAACCAGCTGTAGGATGAGAACACAGCACATCGAAACCCTAGGAGGTCACTGAGCTAATGATCTAATCCTACCTTCCGCAGGCAGTGCCCCCCCACCTCCTCCTGCCCCCAGACCAGTCACAGTGGACTGTCCATTCCAGAAGCCAAGCCAACACCGCCCCCTTCAAGGTCAGAGCAGAATGTTAGCAAGTGACATTGGCTCCCCTTTTTTCAGAAAGGAGGGGGATGGGGGTAATTTAGTAAAAGCCATTAGACCCAAACCCTGGCCAGGCCCCAGGACTCCTATTTGGGAGAACCACTGCTCTCTGCCTGCTTCTCCAGCCACTCCTGAGCTGCAGCCGGGGGCACCTTCAACGGCCATTTTAGGGTTCTGAAGAATGCTTCCAAAGTGCAAGGTGGGAAGCAGGGCAGGGGCCATACAGCCTGGTACGCTCAGCACTAGAGCCAGGTGCCGGCCCTGTGCCAGAATCCTGACCGGGGAGAGGGAGAAGGGCACTCTGGAGCCGGCCCAGCAGGAGGGCATGCTGGCCCTACAGGCCCTGGTTCAAGGAAGAGAAGCAGAGGGGGAGCATTCAGCCGGGCACAGTGGCGGTACCCATGATTACACACTCTCCTCAAGCCGGAGGGGTTTATGAGGGCTTTGGCAATTACTACAACCATTTGCTGTGCGGGGTAGAGACAGATCCTGTTTCTCTTTGTTTCAGAGCTCTGAAAGCAGGAGAAGCCAGGAGAAGCCGGTTTCAGCATAAGAGGCTATACACAATAGTCAGGGCAGAAGAGAAGAAACCTCACTGCTGGCCAAAGCTGACCAGTTTTTTTCTGAATAATAGCACCTGTGTATTAGCTCTGGGAAAAAGAAGGAAGAAGGGAGGGAACATCACTGTGTGTAGTGAGGAGGGGAGCTGGAAACAAGACCCAGAGTCTGCTTTTCAGCCCTCCTCACAGCTGCCAGGCCCCCCAGGCAGCTACCTGCGACGGCTGCCAGCCTGAGGGACTGAAGTTTCTACAGTTGGCAGAACCTATGCTTAAATTGGGGAAATAAAAGGGGGAGGAGTTGAAGAGGAATTGAAAACAGCACCTGTCAAAGCTGCCCACCCCCTTCCTTCTCTCACTACCTCTAGTCCCCCAAAAGGGCAGCTTCCAAGGCCATGTGGTTGGTTGGCTGGTGACAGCAAAGGGGAAGCCAAGAATTACGAGAGGCTATAAGGGTCTGAGCAGCACTGACAAGCCCAGCACAGGTTCTGGGCCCTCCTGCTAGGACCCCCACCTATGGTGAGGTCTGAAGCAGCACAAAGCCAAGACTGCTCTGCCCAGGCTCCAGCAGGTGCCCACTATTTGGTCCCAGAAAGCACAGGTGACTTGGAATCAGAAACCCTGGGCTCTAGCCCTGTCACAATTCAACTGTGATCCTTGAGCAAGTCACTTCCCAACTCTAGACTTCAGCATCATTAAGAGGGCAGGAGCCAAGGAGTTCCACCATTCTTCCAGGCCTGCAGCTCCAAGTCTCTATGCTTGGCTCCTGACATCCAGCAGAAGCCCAGATCTCTGTGTGTCGAGGCTAATTTGATCATGGGAATTAGAGGTTAGAACTGGGCTATGGTGCCCAGATGTACCTGGTGGAGAGGGAGGGGCATTTAAAGGACACCTGAACACCACACTCAGGAGAGGGAGCCTGGGAAGGAGGCAAATACCTCAGTCTTCATAAAGCCATCATTTATGGGCACAGGGGTTGAGATCTTCTTTAGGGGCTTGATGGCTCCTGGAATAAAGGGGATCCAGATACAGAAACAGCTTAGCAAAAGACAGTCTCACCCTGCTGATCAGGCACAAGGGTGCAGCAGTCTGGTTGCTGGGGCACGCAGCTGCTCTGACCTCTCAGTGCATGGGAAAGGGCCGATTGTGTCCATGCAGGCTCCAGGACCACAAGGTGGCTGGCATTATTCAAAGTAGCTGAGGGCAAAGATTTTGGGAGAAGACCACAGTGGAAAATGGCTCCTAGGGAAAGGCACTAACTCCAATTTAAACCCACTCAAATGGATCAGCTTTGGGGTTTTCCCCTGTCTTCAATATGCAACAGTCACTTGAAGGGAAGAGGAAGTATCTCCGCTACTGACCCTCAGGGGCCCCATGGGGCCTGGCTGTGGGAGGTGGGAAATACATGCTGATTTGGAGGAAGCACTTGGATGTATCTTTGGTAGCTTCAGGGAAGGCTTTGGCCCCTTGAAATTATTATTTTTCCTCCCCCTTTTCCCCCATGGGACTGTTGGGGTAGGCATAAAAAAAAAGGCAGACAGAAAGAAAAGAGGTGGGCAGCAGGCAGAAAGAATTAATCCGACCAGTCGTCCTCATCAAACTCAGAGGAGTCATCTTCTGAGTCGCTGTACTCAACAGCAATGCGACGTGACAAGATGGTGGCCACATCGTTGCCCACGACATCCCGCTTCTCCTGTTCCTGCTGCTCCTCAACCCTGCGCAGCTGAAAGCCTGGTGGGAGAGAGACGGAAGGGTGTGAGGAAGGGGGAATGGCCACTGGCTGGTAGAATATGGGAAAGGACAGCGAAAAAGAAGGTTCCTTTGGAAAAGGAGGAAGCAAGAAAAAAATAAAGATGAGGTTTATGAAATGGTGGCCCTGGTGCTATAGGTACGTCTGAGAGGAAGCCTGCCATTCTTCCCCATTTCCAGCTCTCAGGCTGGTGAGGACAGTACTTCTGGACTGGCCACCACACTCCATCTAGTACATACAGTCTGCCCAATTCATTGACTACCACAGAGCTCAGCTGCCCTAGGCTTCTCCTCTATACAACCCTTTAGTTTCTTGGGGATCCTGCACAGAAGAAACCATTGTAGCCCCTTGGTATCAGACCTGGCCTGACAAAAAGAATGAATGCTCAATGACGGTGAGATGATGAGGGAGGAGAGGAAGGAGGGGAGAAAAGGTGACAAAAGAGGAACGAGGAGAAAAGGGGGAGAAGGAAATAGGTGAGAAAGAGGGAAAGAGTAGGGAGGAAGAATATGAAAGGCAAATAAGCGAAGGACAAGAAGTGACTGAGTTCAGATGACAAAGTACCTTCTAGGACAGTGATTCTTGTTTTTCCCTGGGGCACAAAATGGAAGCAAATACACACAAAGCACAAATTTTCAAGGAGTTAAAAAATCCCTGGTTAAGAATTCTTTGCATTAAAGTAGGGTGGAAAGAAATCTAAATTCCCCATATTTTAGGGTGAAGTCTTTCTTCAGGCCGATCCTAGACCTAAGGTCCCAATCTCCATGTAATAAGAGCTACTCCCTGGGAAGGGCACAGAACCCCTCATCTACCCTCCAATCAGTCATCCCAGCTATAGAAAGACAATGCTTCATGGTTCCGGACCCACCACTGGGATTTACCTTGACGGATGGCTGAAAGTAAGTCGCTGCGGGCATCGCTCACGGGAGGCAAGGACGACTTGGACTTTGGTGTATCAGAAAGTGGTGGTGGTGGTGCAGCAGGTTGGCCATCTGCACCACTGTATAGGAGAGGAGGTGGCCCAGGAGGAGGGGGAGGAGGGGGAGGGGGAGGTGCTCCTCCTGTTGGTTGGGATAAGGGAAGTGGTGGCAGAGTTGGGTAGTCAGCTGCCGGTGGTGGGGGAGGAGGCGGAGGGGCAGCAAAATCAGGGTGAGGTGGGAAAGAAGGCGGTGAAGGTGGTGGTGGGGTCACTGGGGATCCAAATCCTCCAGGTGGTGGTGGCGGAGGGACGTTTATCATTGGAGGTGGAGGCGGAGGGGCAGAGGGTGGAGCACAGGTGGATTTGAGGCCCGGTAGAAAACCCAGAGGAGGAGCTGGTGGTGGATGGCTTGGGCTGACCACACTGGATCTTTTGGGTCCAGCTAAGCCAGATGCTCTTTGGTTGTCTGCTGGGTAGCTAAAAGGACAAAGAAAAAGACTCACCATCACTTTCAGGATGCAAATATCCACCTACAGTTAAGCTACTCTAATAGCCTAGATTCATTTTGGTTAACTATATCATTTCATTTTGGTTCAAATAATAAGAAAAATCTGGAAATGGTCAGAACAGACCAACAATGAAATGGGCAGCCTTGTAAGGTAATGAGCTTCCCATCAGCAGAGGAGTCTAAGTAGAAATTGAGAAAAACTACCTGAAAGAAGTAGACTTGAGATTCCTATATCAGGTAAGGGTTGGGCAAGATCACCTCCTAGGTTCCCCTCAAACCTTTCAGCTCTCCAAGGAAAGGCACTCTCCTGAACCCTCCTCCAAAAGGAATGGTCAGTTTAATCGTGGAGCCAGGACTACAAAGGCATGCAAGAAAAAACTGGAATAAAAATTCAAACACCACCCACCCACCCTCTGTTCCTCAGGCTATTAACATTCACTCGATCTTGTGAGGGCAGGAAACCCAAGCCAAGCTGACCAAACCTGAGTGGGGTACAGATTAGGCAATGGCATTTTCAGTGATCATGTGTAAAAACTTGAGAAAGAATGGAGGGTTTGAGGGTCAGCAGAGACAGGAAATGAATGTGCCACAGACTTGACCCAGGTTGAGAGAGGATTAAGGCACACCTCTCCAGGGTCAGGTATGCTTGGCTGCAAGGTCTCAGGCCATGTGCGAGGCTCAGTGAGGGCTCCTTTTTCTACCTTTGTATCTGCCCTGCACTAACAGTTACTTCTTAGAAAAGCATCCATCTTGCAATTTTCCACAAACCTTTAATCCTTAGCTGCATCTGACAGGACAACTGGCAGGAAGTGATTTGGGAGGCAGAAGGAGATTTGGGATTAATGGTTTCAAGAACCAAGAAGAATGGGGCTGCGGGGGAAGGGGTGATGCTTAGGGCATTGCTTTAGGTTTCCATCTGAGGGGTCCTCAACATATCCAATCTCTTGTCCAAGGAGAAGAGTGTATCAGACACCAGAAAGGGAAAAGTAACTGAGGAAACAAATCTGAAAACTCCTCAGAGCCCTTGTCAGCCATTACTTGCTAACTTCCCCAGTATACCTCTGCCAGGGACACTGACAAATACCAAAACGAACAGATTCTAAGTTTCATCTCTCTTTTCCCTTTGTTTCATTCTTTCTGGAGATTCTATCCAACAGTGAAACGAACCAGAAGCAATAGAAGAAAAAGGTGACTGTCTGCTAGGTTCCTTGATAACTGAACAAGGTGTCATAAATATTTTATGGACGGTAAATTATACCACTTCAATTCATGCTGAGTTAAAGCTAAGTAAAATATAAGAGATAAGTTTGGTGACTTCTGTCTTTTCAGGTATTGCTAATAGTAAAGAACACAGTCTCTGCCAAGCCGGTGTGGCTCAGTGGTTGAGCATCGACCCATGCACCAAGAGGTTGCCGGTTTGATTCCTGGTCAGGGCACATGCCCAGGTTGTGGGCCAAATCCCCCCAGTGGGGGGCATGCAGGAGGCGGCCAACTGATGTTCTCTCTGATCGATGTTTCTATCTCCATCTCCCTTCCTCTCTCTCTAAAATCAATAAAGGAAAAAAAAAAAGGACAAAGGCTCTGGACTCAGACTGACTTGCTTTCCAATCGTGTTGGACTCTGCCTCTAACTGGCTCAGTGACCTAAAGTAAGTTTACTGAGCTCTCTGTGCCTTGCCATTCACTCATCTGAAAATGGGTACCTATCTCAAGAGGAGTCTTGTGGGGATTTAGTAACATATATACTGTTTGGTATAATGCCTGGCCCCTTACAAACATTTGATAAATGTTAATTATTTCTATTACCTAGACAGATTTGCCTGAAGTTATTTTAGTGGTCCTGGCCTACATTTGGAACTCTTATTTTGTTCTTGAGTTTTTAATCTCCCAGAGTAGATGGAAAAGGTACCACCATTTACCTGAATTCTGCTGGTGGCGGTGGTAAGCTCTCCTCAGAGAAGGAAGAAGGCAGAGAAGTGGAGTCCGACTGTGGTGGTGGTGGGCAGTTGCTTGCATCCATATTTTCAAGAGAGCCAATGCTGCCATTTTGGTACACTGAGGGTGGATACCTGACAAGGAACGTAATGCAAAAACTGTCATTTAAAAACTCTGAGTGAACCCTGGCTGGTGTGGATCAGTTGGTTGTGTGTTGTCCCATGCACCAAAAGGTTGCTGGTTTGATTCCCGGTCAGGACATATGCCAGATTGTGCATTCAATCCCCGGTAGTGGGTGTGTAGGAGGCAGCTAATCCACACTCAGCTCTCACATCGATGTTTCTCTCTCTCCCTTCCTCTCTAAAAAATCAATTTAAAAAAATGTCTCGCCCTGGCCAGTTTGGCTCAGCGGTTGGAGCGTCGGCCTGCGGTCCGGAGAGACCCGGGTTCAGTTCCCGCTAAGGGCACGTACTTCGGTTGCAGTTTGTCCCCGGCCCTGGTTGGTCGTGCGGGTGGCAGCCACTCGATGTGTCCCTTCACGTCGATGTTTCTCTCTCTCCCTCTCTTCCTCTCTCTCCCTCCCGCTCTATCTGAACAAAAAATGGAAAAATGTCCTCGGGCGAGGATTAAAAAAAAAAAAAAAAGTCTAAACCCTGGCGAATTTGGCTCAGTGGTTGGAGGATCGGCTCATGGACCGAAGTGTCACAGGTTCAATTCCCTGTCAGAGGCACAGAGCTGGGTTGCAGGTTCAATCCCCAACCCCGGTCAAGGTCGTGCAGAAGGCAATCAATCAATGGTCTCTCTCACATTGATGTCTGTCTCTCTTTCTTTCTTTCCCCCACTTCTACTCTATCTAAAAAAAATCAATGCAAAAATATCCCTGGGTGAGGATTTAAAAAAAAAAGATTTTTTTTTCTAAAAAGTCTGAGTGATTGTCTCGTTTTCTTTAAAAAAAAAAAAAAAAAAAAAACCCACAAAAATGCATTTGATACAAAGGTTATTAGGAGAAATAAAATAAGTATATTCCCCATATAGTTTCTGTCATACTGAAATTTTATTTTAGGACTAAATATTCTATCGTTACCATCTCTCAAATAGATTGTAGGAATGGGATTCACCGATTATCAAAACCATGCTGTTCCTTTCTCAGTGTTGGCCTTGTCAAACCCAGCAATTCTTTTAAGTTTTTCCCCAAAATGTTAGAAGCCTATACCCAAATCCCAAAGTCTGTCTGTGGCAAAGGGCAAAGCCAAGCCCCAAGGCTAGTGAGCTGGCTGTAAACATGTGACTGGCACACAGCCTGGTTTTAAGGCCAGCAAGCCTCTGGAGTGCTCAAAGGCCAAGGAGGTATTTGACTGCAAAACCAAGCTGAGGACAAATCCAAGGTACTATGTGCTTGTTAGATGTGGTCTCTCCGCCAGGACTCTTATCAATAACAAAATGAGCTGCCAATTAAAGTAGGGTGCTATGGCTTGCCTCATAAAAAGCTGCCCCTCAGAGCACTGGGCCTTGGGTGAGCCCTGGCTGGTGAACAACAACAAACCTCCAAACAAGTACAAAATACTCCAAGCAGCAGCTAGCAAAATGTGGCCTGTCATGGCCCCCTACCCTGCCACCATTGTTGGGTTCTAAAGAATGCATCTAAAATAGACCCCAGGGAGAACAGAGTTGGAGGAAACTGAATCAAACGATGCTCTGATGTGGAAAATCCCCAAGGCCTGGAGCCCTACAGGCTTAACACATCTTTTCACAGGTTCGCCAACAAGCATGTCCAGGTAGACCAGCCATGAAGCCCAATTCTATATTGGACAATAGGGAAACGGGAGGCTAAGTCTTTATTTTCACCAACCCCATTTAACAAAACAAAAACAAAAACCCCAAAAGACCCCAACCCCACAAAATAGTTGGCATATTCTGAACATGGAAGCTTCCGGCCTTAAGAGTTGCTGAATCTATGACAAGGGCCTGTCTGAACAGAATGGGACAACACAGACTAAAATGGCTCTTTTACTGGGAGGTGAAGGTAATGGAGGACCCTCAGGGCTGATTTCCCTGTAGAGAGAAAGGTTCATTTTTCCTCTCACCATCTTCATCACTCATTAGAACAAATCTCTTAATCCAGGAAGAACAAGTGTCAGAAGTGTCAAGATTTTTAAAATTCAAGAATTTCATGGTAGAGTTATTTCTAAAAGCAAGAACAATTCAACTCTTTCCTTTTATCATTCCTAGACACCTGGCATGGGCTGGCATAGTTCTCTGACAGTCAGGATGCAATGTATTTAGGAGAAAAACCAGGGCAACATTCATACCAAGCAGTCGTGGTAACTTGCCTTTGAATGTCACACAGGATGGACACTAGGATAATTATCAAATCAAACTTTAAGACAATTTTCCCCCCTTTTAGACCTCTAGTGTGATTTGGTATTGGGAAATGGGGTCAAACTGACATCTACTATTTCTCCATGGAGATATATAGCCTCAATACTGGCTGAGCGACCTTTCCCACACTGTCTCTGAGGTCTGCTTTCAATCCCTTGGCCAGCCTCTCTCCTGAGACTGACAAAGGCCGACTGAAAAGTTGCTTTGGTGATTCTCTGCCTGGCCCTCCCTACTCTTATGAAAGGCCCAGCTCTTAGGCACTACCTTCAAATCAATGCTCTGGAGGCAAATGGCCCCCAAGACCACTATTCTTCCCTTTCCAGTCTTTCCTTTGAGGCCCTTAGACATGCCAGTGTCTGGCACAGTGAGGGCACTAGAAGCCATGGGCTTTCTTTTCCAGGCAACTTTGGTCACTTCATTCAAACTGCTGAGTCTCGATTTATTTAGCTAATTTTAATCACCAGATGGATGCACGTTAAAGTAATGGATTAACAGTGGTATCGATCTAAGCCATACAGCCAGACTTCCGGGGGTATGAAAGGTGTCACACTAAAGCTGTCAGACTGATGTCCCCAGTCCCTTTAAAGAATGCTACCAATAGTACAAAAGCATCACCTACCCAGAAGGCCCTAGCTTTTCTTTGGATTCCACAAATTCTTGTCCCATCTTCATTTTTTCCCACTCTTCCTTACGTGTCTTGATTTTACGTGGGTTTATATTCCCTCGATTTGGATTATCTTTCTTTTCTTTCTGTAATGAAAAGAAACAGAAAATCCTTTGTAAAACACTTTCCAAAGTTCTTCTCTAAAATTCCATCTATACCTGGCGGGTGTGGCTCAGTGGATTGAGCATCGTCCCACAGACTGAGAGGTCCCCGTTCAATTCCTGGTCAGGGCATATGCCTGGGTTGTGGGCTTGATCCCCAGTAGGGGGTGTGCAGGAGGCAGCTGATCGATGTTTCTCTCCCACATCAATGTTTCTATCTCTCTCTCCCTTCCTCTCTCTCTAAATAGTTAATAAAAACATATTGAAAAAATTTTTTCTGTCCTGGCCAGTTTGGCTCAGCGGTCAAAACGTGAGCCCGCAGACCAATGAGTTATGGGTTTGATTCCAGTCAAGGGCACGTGACTCAGTTATGGTTCGTCCCCGGCCCTGGTCAGGGTTATACAGGAGGCAGCCAGTCAATGTATCTCTCTCACATTGGTGTTGCTCTTTCTCCTCTCTCCCTCCCCCCCTTCCCTCCCACTCTAACTGAAGATAAATAGAAAAAAAAAAAAAATCCTTGGATGAGGATTTAAAAAAAATCCCCCCTCCCTGGCCAGTTTGGCTCAGCAGTTTGAGCGCTGGCCCGCGGACCAGGGAGGTCCGAGTTCAGTTCCTGGTAAGGGCGTGTACCTCAGTTGCAGTTTGTCCCTGACCCTGGTTGGGGTCGTGTGGATGTGGATGGTGACCACTCGATGTGTCTCTCTTACATCGATGTTTCTCTCTCTCTCTTCCTCCCTCTCTCCCTCCCACTCTATCTGAAGATAAATGCAATAATGTCCTTGGGTGAGGATAAAAAAAATAAATAAGGAAATAGTTAAAACAAAACAAAACCACCAATGAGGTTTCTTCAGCATGTGCAGCTGCACTAGCCCCTGGCACTCTCTTAGGCCTCCTGGCAGCCATGCTAATGGGATTGTGAAATTGCAACTGGTAGGTCATATATGCTTACCCACATCACTAGGAGTCCAAGGGGAGAGGAGTATCTCCCAAAACTAGGCCTATGCTCCCCTGCCCCCAGTAGTGAAGGTGTTAAACTGCTCCTGGTACAAATCAAACACTATAGAGCCTTGTGCTGATCGCTGAGAAATGAGCTGCAAAACTGGCAGGGAAGGGACTAGCCTAGTTTGAGTGTCCAGCAGAGTCAGGTGCAAATTGCAAGAGAAATAAATGGTGAATAGAAAAGTCAATTTCTAAAACTCAGCCTGAATATACTCAATTGTTAATAGCGCTAGGGGGAACAAACACATTTTTGGTGTGATTTATACTTTCATCTTGGTTGTGCTTGTAGTGGACACATTTTTTTAAGAGTTTCACCTGGCATCCAAGCCAAGCAGCCTCTCAGAATGATTACTTCACATAAGACTGGCTTCCTTTTTATCCCCCCTCCACAATCGTGCCTACTGATGTGTAGAACAGAGGCCCCTTTCCCCTCACCCTATGCTTTCTCTTCTCTTTCATGATATCCTTGGTGTCCTGCAGCATCTTCTCCTTCCAAAGATCAAAGAAGTACGAAGGGTCTGTGTAGAATTTGAGTGCCTCTTTCCCATCATCCCTAGGATAGAAATGAAGACAGGTAGCTGTCAGTAGATAGATGAGCTCCTAACCAAATCCAATATTCCAAATACTTACCAGTTAGCAGTTTTTACACTCAGGAATCAAGTCATTCAAATTGATTGCATACTTCCTCTCCCATATCAGCGTTCCAATGCCCCTTGAATGCTACCTCGTTATTTATCTGGCTTTTAAAAAACCTTAGCCTTCCGTTCAATTCCTGGTAGAGGAATTTGCATAGTCAGGGCAAAGAATGGGCTACAGCAGCAGGGATCCCAGTTATTTCTAATGATCTGCATAGCCACAGACATCTCCCTGAGGACATCCTGACATCAGAGGGGATTTCTGCCACTGGTTTCCTCTTGCCACACCAATTCCCCTGGATCTCTAGGAAGCATTAGGGGCCCCTCACCCACCTGAAACCTGTGCACACATGTGTAGGTTCACATGTGTACATTCACATGTGTACGTATGCATACATATATACACATCAGTGCATAAATGTGTGCAGCTGGTATTCCTCTGTGAAAACAGATAACCACAGCACTCCACCTTCTTGCTCCCTTCTAGAATAGCTCAGCATCTGCCCAGTACCCCTCCAGATCCCCAACCACAAGGGGGCTTCATTGAGAACAGATGGCCAGATGTTTTATGACCGCAAAATTTAATTACCATCTCTTAGTGGCTGTGATGGAATAGAGTTACTGAGGGTTAAGGTAAGAGTTATCAAAAAAACCCCAAACAAACAACAACAACAAAAAAACAGGTAAGAATTATCTGCCAGGCTCAGCAATCCTGGTTGGAATCCTACACTTTGGATAACTCGCTCTCATTTTCCAGAAAGTATGTGCTTAGGAGTGGACATTTATTTTAACACTATTCTGAACTGAAAAGGAGTGGAAAGGCAATTCTATGCCCTGGCTTCCAATCCTATCACAACATGCAGAAAACATTTCCAAATCAAACACTAATGATTTTTATATTAAATCTTGTTGAGCCCCGGCTGGTTTTGCTCAGTGGTTAGAGCGTCGCCTGCAGCCCAGAGACCCGGGTTTGGTTCCCGCTAAGGGCATGTACCTCGGTTGCAGTTTGTCCCTGGCCCTGGTTGGTTGTGCGGGTGGCAGCCACTCGATGTGTCCTTTTCATGTCGATGTTTCTCTCTCTCTCTCTTCCTCTCTCTCCCTCCCACTCTATCTGAACAAAAAAATGAAAAAATGTCCTCGGGTGAGGATAAAAAAAAAAATCTTGTTGAGTTAGTTACACATCCACTCATTTCTGCTAGGTCAAATTCAGATAACTGAAAGGAGAATGTTAAAAAGGAAAATACCATTACCTAAAAAATAAACTTGTTTTATATCGTTTGTTTATCCTGTCCTACCACACCCTATATCATACTCCCTTTGATATTATCAGGTGTGTACTCCCTTCTGCCCCACAACTCCTCTGCCCAAATCCAAGTAAATGATAGAGGCTGCAGAGTGAAATCTCTGTCCTACTATGATAGCCAGCCCCTTTGAAAGCCAAGGGACAAACATAATTTCACACAATAATAATGTAGAATAGATGCTAGGTACTTTTTCTGTATCTGTGTAAGAAGCTACCAGGCTTCTCTTTCAAGCTCCCTGGATCAGGCGGGTGTCCTTGAATTTCCCCGCACACATTCTACTTTGCAGTATACCCGTGTCTCACAGAAGATATCTGCCTCTAGCTATCTGTAATTACTTTTTACCTGTTCCAAAGATATTTATGGATGCAAGCAAGATAAATATTCGTTTTCTGTCCCGGTTCAGTGGTTATTTGCAGGATGATAACACTACCAGACCATTAGAGGGGAAGGACTTGAAGGGGTCTACAAGGCTACCTTCTTTTTATTTATTTTTTATTTTTTTTATCCTCACCCGAGGACAGTTTTCCATTTTTTATTCATATAGAGTGGGAGGGAGAGAGAGAGAGAAACATCGATGTGAAAGGGACACATCAAGTGGCTGCCACCCGCACGACCCAACCAGGGCCGGGGACAAACTGCAACCGAGGTACATGCCCTTAGTGGGAACCGAATCCGGGTTTCTCTGGACTGCAGGCCGACGCTCTAATCGCTGAGCCAAACTGGCCAATGCAAGGCTACCTTCTTTTTTAAAAAAGTCCAGCCACAGCAGTGTAGGTCCTTTCCAAGGGGAATGTGGAAAGGATGTTCAAAAAGTGAACAATACTCATTTGGAAGGATGCCAGTTACTCCCTTAACTTTGGAAAAGCCCTCAGGGCCCAGAGCAGCCAGTCCACAAGGCTGGCCCCACTAACACGCCCAAACATCTGGTAATCTAGTGGTTTCCGAGTAAGTGGGAGCCTTGCTAGAATGTTGCTCCTGGGATGCATGCTACAGGGCTGCCTTGTAACACAGTCCTTTTGGTTCTATAATAACTAAATTCCGTGGATGGAATCCAAGATGGATCTGGCTATACCAAACTAAACTCTGTGGCATGCAAAACTATAGCAAACTTTCATTCTATATTACATTTACTATGAACTTCAGAAACCAAACAATAATAAGTGACAACTGTTTATGTAATAAATGTTAGCTTCTGCTGCCACAAGCAACTATGGGGTAGATAGTAAGCTTTTAGATACAATTCTCTGATGTAAACAATATCTTTAAATAAAAAGACAATCCAATATTGTTAACCACAGGCCAAAAAAAGGAGGATCTAGCCAGGTTACCTGTAAGGGGTAAGATTGTTGAGAGGTGGAGGAGTATCACAGGTGTTGTATGTTTCCAAGACAGGTACAGGGAGAGAGTTTCTGTCAAAAAGCTTCTGATCTTGAATGGTAGAGCTTCTGAAGGCCTTTCGGGAGTTGATTCCTTGTAGTGACACTGAGAGAAGTTGGAAGGCATTAGAAAATGGACGACAGGCTATTTGAGCAAACACTGAGTCACACCAGTCAGAGAGGCCTCAGCCGCTACATTTCTTGGCTGTGGCTGTCTGCAGCCAGGTTTTTTTCCCCACTCTGGGGAAGCCCCACAAGGCTGTCAGCAGCCCAGCCATTTCACGACTGAACAAAATGAGGCAACACAAAGGTTTACTATGTGGCCAGATCTAGCAGGCCTCTCCTGAGGAGGAATGAATCTTCCAAGTACTTTTATGGTAGCAAAATAAGATTGGGGGAGGGGGAAGTTGAGAAAGGGGGAATTGGGGAATGGGAGAGAAGGAGTGTGTGGGAGTGTGGTAAAGCTAAAAAGGTTTCTCTACACCACCCAGGCTTGTGTCATTTCAAAGCAGAACTCCATAGGTCTCTGTAATTTCTCCCTTCACATTTTTTTTATAAATCAGGAAAAAAATTCGAAGAAACTGCTCAGCAGAGCCTGCAAATGCTGAGCTCAGCTTCCTTACCTTCTTCTTCCTTGGGATCCAGCTGAGTGACTTTAACTTGTAGGCGGTCAACCCTCTCAGCAAGGGAGCTTACCCGAAAGGCAAAGGTATTTGCCTGAGTAAAGAGCTCTCCAAAAATGTCCTCTGCATATTTACCTGAAAGAACAAAGAAACCAAGTCATTAGTGCATAAAAATGACAAAATGGTTAGAAAAAATGGCTACTAAAGATCATATTCCCCACCTCCCAAACACCCCTCCCTTCCCCGCAAGATAGTTTGGGTTATATGTAGATGCTTATCTTGGAGACAGAGACATATCCTCCACAGCTAAGGCACTCTGCATATGTTCTATAACTGAGTCTTCTTGGCAACCTCTAAACAATCATGAAACTCAAAGTGGTCTGAATAAAATCGAAAGGTATAATACAAACAAATTAATCCTGGAAGGGCAGACAATATGTCTACACATTTGCCTACAACCCTTTGCCCCTTGCTACTCTGTAAAAAAAAAAACGTTGCAAATGGTTCTGGAAAACATACTGGAAGTTAGAAGGACCTTCTAGGTGTCTACATTTAACATGAAAAATAAGACATTACATCCTCAGTGGAGCCTCAAAAGTATATTGAACAACTATGATGAGTAGTGGTATCTTCGAAGAGCCTTGCACTTATCAGCAACTCACAGCAGAGACTTACAACTTATTCTAAGGAGTAAAAAGCTTTTTTTTTAAAATATGTTTTTACTGATTTTTTAGAGAGGAAGGGAGAGAGACAGAAACATCAATGTGAGAGAGATACATTGATCAGCTGCCCTTTGCAAGCCCCCCACCAGGGATTGAGCCCACAACCTGGGCATGTGCCCTGAATGGGAATCGAACCGGGACCTCTCAGTCCATGGGACAATGTTCAATCCACCGAGCCACACCAGCTGGGCTGAAAAATTTATTTTATGTTTTATAACCTACAACTTTGAAAGTCTTTGCTCTATTTTATAAAATGTTAAATCTATATCTTGGGGGGGAAAGTGAAAAGCTGGAACTTTCAAGCCCTCCCTGAAAAACACAACATATCAGTGGTCTCTTTCCACAATGCCTTGTTTTTTTTAAAAAAAGAGTTCCACAGATTTCTGTACTTTCAACCCTGGAATGTAAGGAGAATTTGCAGCCAAAGAAACATAACAGCAATTTGACGCTACCTTCATATTGTCATTTCAAGTGAACCACAAAGCAAATTCTTGCTAGGAATGAAAAGTGGTGCATACAAACAAATATACCACCTGAGTTTCTTACTTGCATGGTGAAGGCAGGCATAAGTGACGGTGCTCAACCAAAAGATAATTTCTTTGAGAACGATTCTAAGTGGGCTCTGATTTTAGTTTCTAAACTTCACTTATGCTTAGTCCACACATGAGGGGAAAAAACTTAGTCCAAAAGGCCAAAACTGCACCTTCAGGGTAAACTGCAGTTTACCTTCCCTGTGTAACCTGGAGAGTAAGGAGAAGACTAATCAATGGCATATTTTGGATTGCTGGTAAATTTAGTCAACAAGGAGTTTCTAATCAAGGAAAGGAGCAAGTCTCTGCATACTGAACAGTTTTGTGATATAAACAGTAATGGGAAGCTCCTGCGCTCAAAGGACTCAAATTGGCTAACGAGCTGCACTTCTATTCTGCAGGTGGAGGATCCCATTTGATCACAGTCCATACATGGCTAAGTTCCCATAAAAACCATACTGTACCATGCTCACCCAGGTAACAGAAACTTGTGAGTATAAGGCTAAAGCAGAGAAACATGCAACATTATGTGTGGAAAATAAACCAGGCTCCAAAATATATGTTGTCCATCCAGCTGTTCTGGAGGAAAAGAAAACCCCAAATTAACTTACTTTTAGGTCACCAAGGGAGCATCCAGCACTTCCTGCTCCTCAGCGAAGGGAGCAGTGATAGTGGGAGTAGTGGCTTACTGTGGCACAATGGTTTTCAAGATATAAATCTTACAAAGAAACCCAACATATAAAAATGGTAGCATTGAGAATGCTTTCTGAAGAGAAAGTGAGATGTGAAGGCTTCCCCACTGCCATATCACGTCAGGCCCTAGGCATACTTAGAACTGTAAGATGACACATGGAAGAAGCAGTGGACTTCAAACCAGAAAATATGGATTTAAGTCTCAGTATTTTCTATTTACACCTGTGCACTCTTTTTTTTTTTTTTTGGTACGTGCCTCTAGTGGGAACTGAACCTGGGACTCTCTGGTCCGCAGGCTAATGCTCCAACCGCTAAGCCAAACCAGCCAGGGCTACACCTGCGTACTCTTCAGCAAATCACAATCTCCCAGCTTCAGTTTCCTCATCTGTAAAACAGGGATCACTATATCTACCTCATTGAGTTGCCATAGGATTAAATGAGCTAAAAATATAAGTTGTTACGATGAGATTCTTCCTTATATTACTCAACCATATCAGATGACTTTTAAGAGTGTAGATATCAGCTCTGGCCAGTTTGGCTCAGCGGTTAGAGCGTCAGCCTGCGGTTCGGTTCCTGCTAAGGGCACGTACCTCGGTTGCAGTTTGTCCCCGGCCCTGGTTGGGTCATGCAGGTGGCAGCCACTCAATGTGTCCCTTTCACGTCAATGTTTCTCTCTCTCTTTCTCTTCCTCTCTCTCCCTCCCACTCTATCTGAACAAAAAATGAAAAAATGTCCTCAGGTGAGGATTAAAAAAAAAAGTGTGGATATCTGCCCTGGCCGGTTTTGCTCAGTGGTTAGAGCGTCGGCCCGCAGACCAGAGCATCCCGGGTTCGGTTCCCACTAAGGGCACGTACCTTGGTTGCAGTTTGTCACCAGCCCTGGTTGGGGTTGTGTGGGTGGCAACCACTCGATGTGTCTCTCTCATGTCGATGTTTCTCTCTCTCTCTTCCTCCCTCTTTTCCTCCCGCTCTATCTGAAGATAAATGCAAAAATGTCCTCAGGTGAGGATTAAAAAAAAAAAGAGTGTGGCTATCTAAATATCCTATGCTTAGAGAAAGTTTGAAATGTAATTCCAGTCAGTAACTTGATAGTCCTTATTCTTTAAGTACCAAAAATTACTCCAACTATTGGAGAAAACCAGAGTGCCTTGTTCAGAGTTAAATTTCATTCATTCAGATTACCAAGAAAGACCCTCTGTCACATTGGGACATTTATAATGGATATCACATTTTGCAAAAGATTCCAGAACCAGTCATCATATTTTTTTTCCCCCTTGGCAACAGAACTCTTCAAACGAAATATTAGGTGGAATTTGAACAGGTAAAACTGTTTTTTCAAAATGTGAAGCTACTCTTGTTGAAGTGAGTGGGAATCTTGAAACATGCCCCCCCCCCCCCAAGACATGACCCCACTACGCTTGGTTAGAAAACTCAACATCATAGCATGATTTCTTAATGACCCAAGTGGGGGTTCCGCTCTCCTGGGTGGTCAAAAGTGCTTGCTGGCTGTGCCTTTATTTCCTAAGATATGGCAACCTAATATGTGAAATACCAATCTCACTGCACAAAGGGAAAATAAGAATTCTGGATGTGCTATCACGAAGCAATGCACAGTTGTGGAATTTTTAGTTTTGTGCTTTATCCATTCCATAATCACACTTTTCCTACTACACCAAGCACTTCTGGCTATAGTACAATACATGAGGCCAAGATCATGAGCTTGAAGTACACAATAGTCCATTCCTGTATCCCTCTCTACTAGATAAAATCCTAGCATCTTTCAAGGCCTGGTTTGAATGTAACCTCTTCTATGTAGCCTTCCTTGACCTTCCCTATCCCCACCTGTGCGCCTACTCCCTATAGATAGTATTCATTCCTTCCACCCCTGTGCACCAACAGCACAAACTGGTAAAGAGAATATAGGCATGAATCATTCAACAAACATTTACTGGAGCTTCTACTGGGTGCCAGGTACTATATAAGACAGACACTGGGGTTCAAGGACAAACAACACATGATTTTTGCCTTCAAAGAACTTTTAAGAGATATAGATAATTTTCAATATAATGTGGTAGGTAATAATATAGCCATGTAATAGGAGCTCAGAGGAGCACTTAATCCAGTTTGGAGGAGGAGAGCCCTGAGATGGGCCTTAAAGATCAGCTATAAGGATGGCAAGGGCCCTCCAGGCAGGGTGAGCAGCAAGGGCACTGCATGAAGGTATGAGAGTATGCTCTAAGAGGAACTACAAGTAGTGGATAATTCAGTTCTTTCTTCCTCTCTTTTTATCCCCTCTTTTTTTTCCTTTGTTCATTTTAAAGGAATCTTTTTAAAAGACTGTAACATTGGAGAAGATGGATTATAGAAAATGAGGCTGGAAAGGAAAACAGGTCTTGAAGAGTCTTGAATGCCAGGCCAAGGAACTTAGACAATTCCATAGTGAAGAACAGGGGAGATAAATAGTTAACATTTGTACTCTTAGTTTAAAAACACTTTTAAATTACAAAAGTTAACACAGCCTTAACTTTAAAAAATTCAAACAACTCAGAATTATAAAAGTAAAAAGTGAGATTTGCATTTTGGGAAGATCACTGTGGCAGTAGTACAGGTTTAAGATTTATAGGATTTTGCCCTGGCCAGTTTGGCTCAGCGGTTAGAGTGTCAACCCGCGGTCCAGAGAGACCTGGGTTCGGTTCCCGCTAAGGGCACGTACCTCGGTTGCAGTTTGTCCCCGGCCCTGGTTGGGTTGTGCGGGTGGCAGCCACTCGATGTGTCCCTTTCGTGTCGATGTTTCTCTCTCTCTCTTCCTCTCTCTCCCTGCTGCTCTGTCTAAACAAAAAATGAAAAAAATGTCTTTGGGTAAGGATAAAAAAAAAAGATTTATAGGATTTTTAGGTTTATAGATTTAAGAAGGTTGACCACAGAAAGGGAGGCCAGAGGAGGCTAGAGCAATAATTTAGGTGAGAGTCAAAAAAGGTCTGAACCAGGACCCTATTAGCAGAGACAGAGAATAGGGGACTGAGATGAGAAATCTTTAGGAAGTATGACTTGCCTCTTACTGACTGCTGTCTCTCTAAGCAAGTTATCTTACTTTTCTGAGCCTTCATTCTTTCATCTGAAAAACAGAAGTACCACCTACCTTTACAAGATTACTGAGGATTAAATAAAATAATCTATGTCAAGATTCTATTAAAACCTGGCATAAAGTAGGCAATCAACAAATATGATTTCCCTTCTCACCCTCTCCCCATTCTTCCCATAAGAATTATTTATTTCTGTCTCTTCTGGTAGATTATAAGCTCCTGGAAGGCAGAGACCATTTCTTATTATCGCTGTATCCCCTCAGCACTGAATATAAAATATGTCAATACATGTTTGTAGGATCAATAAAGGGTCAATTAGCTCCAGTGTGGGGAAATCTTGTTTCTGTAGGCATAAGCAATCCTGGCCTTCAGATCAGCTTCCTTAAGATAGAAGTGGTCTGATCACAAATGGCAGAGTGAGCAATGGCACTCATCAACACTACCTGAAAAAAATACCTGAGAGACAGCATAACTCCTGCTGAGTGAGAATAAGCAGCATCATTAGCTAGATGTCCTTTATCCTATGGAGAAGGAACCAGTGTGTGATTGACTTCCACCCATATGGCCTCTCAGGGTGACAGAAGCAGAAATGATGCTTCTGAGAAGCAGCAAGGCTCTCTACAACCTTCATGTGCTTCCTTGTCAGCTGCACTGCTGTTGCACTGCTGTCAATGTTTCTTTGTGTAAGACAGGCATCGACAGGGTTTCATTTCTTCGTGACACCCATCCAGGTTTCCCTAAGCCCTAGATCAACCGAGATGGCCTCTGAGCTAGGTAAAGGCTTAGGAATCTCAGACCCCATATATCATCTAGTCACTAAGCTCTGTCTCCTCAGGCCCCTATTTTAAAGGCAGGGTCTATAACTATCTGGGGGAATGAAGGCTTTCTTGATATTCCACTGCCTTCACTAAGGGCAATGATGCGATAGGAGGGGTGAATGTCTGAAATAATTCACACCAAGATGTCTTTGCTAAGGAAGATCACTAAAATGGCATTTTGATGGAGGTTTTTTTTTTGTTTTGTTTTTTTTTAATCCTCACCAGAGGACAATTTTGCATTTATCTTCAGATAGAATGGGAGGAAGAGGGGGGAAAGAGAGAGAGAGAAACATCGATGTGAGAGAGACACATCGACTGGCTGCCACCCACACGACCCCAACGGGGGCCGGGGACAAACTATAACCAAGGTATGTGCCCTTAGTGGGAACCGAACCAGGGACTCTCCGGTCTGCGGCCGACGCTCCAACCACTGTGCCAAACTGGCCAGGGCTTGATAGAGATTCTTATGGGGAGTTGGTGTGGCACTAGATGAATACATAGCCTATCCAAGCATCTGCCCTTCTCATACCTCAGCTTTAAGCAAACAAAGTCAACTTGATTCAGAATGAAATCCAAAATACATGCATGTACCCCACCCAAGGCAGTCTCATTCATTCTTGGCAATTAAAAACAAAAAACAGTTGAGCTGGCTTTTCCTCAGCTCTAAAACAGACTGGGCTACCCAAATCCTCCTCCTAGAGAAGAATGGCTCCAGCTATAATTTGTGTCACTGTGTGTTCATGCGGTTTGCAAAACTCCCAACACCCCAGAGACTGCAGAAGTAATTTGTACCCTGAACTTGGACCTGGGGGCTTGCAGCACAATTAAATGTGTACCAGGGTAGACAAGTCAGCCAAAATCTCTCTGAGTGCATGTTTGCTTTACTCCTCTTTGGGAAGAAAGGGGGTGGGGATGTCGGGTAGATGAAGACTATTGGCACATTTGAGGCTTCAACAAAGTCAGGCTACATTGAACAGCTCGTGCAATTACAGGCACATTCCCCAACCTAAGATACTGTTCTGTGAACCTCCCACTTTACACACAGAGAATTCTGCTCTGTCATTCCATCTGCAGTTTCTGCTGTAGCCCTTCCTGCCACCCTTCCCACAGATTTCTTTAGAAGCAGGTGGAGAGGGAGGTGGAGGGAGCCTAGAGGGTGGTGGTAGATGAAGAAAGGGTTGAGGGGAAGAATCCGTACCAAAACAGAGCCTCTCTTTGGGAAGAGGGGGGTGGGATGCATTTTTGCATTACCTAGGGAAGGCAGATGGGGGAGAAATAGGAACACGGAGGAGAAGGAAACTAAATAAAGAGCACCAACAACCCCTGAGGGCAAAGCACAGGCTCTCTGCGGCACTCACTCAGGTTGCCCAGCTGTCGGATGATATTTGCCAGGGTGATGTTGGTCACGCATTCCAGCTCGCTTCTAACACTAGGCAACGTCTGACGGCACAGGTGCCTTGGCTCGATGTTCCTCGTTACTAACGGCATGGTGGACCTGCTTCAGGCAATGTTCTGAATGATGAAAAACAACCTAAAAAAGAAATAACAGGAAAGTATTACTCAACCACAAATTCCAGGCACACTAGGGCTGTGTGAGTCTTTCTGTCTTTTGTCTTGCTCTGATCTAAAACAGCTTTAAAAATCTTCTCTCTCCCTATCTATTTTTTAAAGACCATTCCTCTCAGTCCCCCACCTCCACTACCTTTTAAAGGTTTGATAATAGAAGGCTTGCTGGATAAGTTTAGAAATTCTGAACTGGTGACTGCTGACTACAGGTAGCATAAAAAAAAACTAAAAACCTTAAAATAACAACTATGTTCCAACCAACAAGAATCTCCAGAGGCAAGGAGCATGGTCAGAAAACAGCCCATTCAGCAGATCCTAGATGGTACAGATCCTATCCTTTGGGTGTCCAAAAGCAGGACAGAGCAGATTCCAAATGATCAATTATAAGGGTCAAAAAAGAGCTTCTGTCATCTGATAATCTCCACAATGAAATTAAGTCGCCAATAGTGATTCCACTGATCTACATCAGGACATAACTTCTCCAGTTCTTCCCTTGATGGATGATGACTGTTAACGTGCAACTAAATACTAGCTGCCAGTATCTATTAACACTACTAAAATTTAGTCTGTAAATAGACAGAAAGAATACCAAGAAAAAATTTACATGTTCAATATGTCAAACATGATGCTGAGCAAACTGTGCTTTAAGATTCCCTAGTCCTTTCTCTTCTACCAAACAGCTCCCTTTCTCTGTCCCATCTGGTTCAACATACCTGGGCCAAAAGGCTCTTGAGACAGCAGGAAGTGTCTGGAGCAGATCCGGAAACATTCTAGTTAACTGTTTCTTATCCTGTCAGCTGAGCCCCTTTCCCTAGGAAATCCCCCAGCACTAGGTTCATATTGAGCTATTGTTTTAGAGTTAGATTACCTAATTCCTAGCTTTATAAGAATAGAAAAAGGTTTTAGTCTCAACAAAATGGATATGACTACAGCCATTGGACTGTGGTCATATTTCCCTATTTCGTGAAACTAAAGCTATCCAAAACAGTCTAATGATTTTCATGCTAGGGAAAATGGCAGATTCACACTTCAAATAAAAGGTGAAACATAAAGGAAACACACTCAAGTCCCCAATATTGCAAACTCCTCTTAAACAACAACAAAAACAAAACAAAACAGAGGTTTACTTACATCAAATCTTATAACACCAGTTCATCACCAAAAAAGCTGATTGTGAATACAAAATGCTTAAACCAAGCTAAATATCATAGATCTTAAAAGTGAACCAACATAGTGTCTGACCAAAAGTAAAAAAAAAAAAAAAAAAAAAAAAAAAAGGCCCTTCAGGCTCAAAGGGGGAGTAGAACCCTTTGGAACAGACAGCCCCTTGTTATGGACATTCTGATCTGCTAAGAGTAAAAATAAAACAGGAAGCCAGCAGCTTGGGGAACAAGATTTCCTGTCACCAACAGCAACAGCCCAAGAACCAAGAGAATCAGCTGTTTGCTCATAACTTTGAACCTCCCTTTAATAGGCACTATGTGGCAGCTGTGCCTATCTTTGGGGTGCAGAGGTGTTTCCTGAATATTTGTCTACTGTCTAAGGAAATAATTTTCATTCCGTTCTTCTGTTAAGTTCCCCTTTGACTCAACAGGTTTTCTAACCCTAACTCTGGACTTCTAATTCTTCTCCTCTTTTACTTAATGTAAATGGTATCAGGTACTAAGAGGCAATCTTTAGTTAACTAGTGATGAAAAGAGAGTTTAGAACAGCAAAGGAGGCAAGAGGTTACAAATAATAGAACCTCACAGGGCTCTGTATGCCACCCTCAAAATGTTCTTAGATTCCCATATTTTAGGCTTTTCAAAAGGACCAGAAATTCAAATGTGCAGTCAGAGATGACTGGAAACAGCCACTGTGGTTCCCTCCATTAGCAATAATTTCAGTCTTGTTCCAGCTTCTCAGAGGAGCTAAAGGAGCCAGATCTCCTTGAAATTCTGTGTTGAATGTGGCCATTGACAGGGCATTCTAAAAGTTCTCTCTGAACACCTAATAGAAACCGGATTCCAGATGGCTAGGTAAATGCCAGTTTGGGGAGGCAGGGGATGGGGGACAACTTCTAAGGCCATGGGTATGTTGGCATTTATGCTTTCCCAAGTGCTTTGGATAAGCAAACACAAATGGAGTCAACTCTTTGTCTGAAACCAAATTTTCAATAGCAAGATGGCTTCCTCTTGCCAAAAATGCCAGCTCCTATAATCAGCTAAAGAGCACTCAAGAAATGATAATGTCAATAACCATCAAGACAAAACAATTAGAAAAGTATATATGCTACTACAAAAAGTCATTTAATATGTTTCCGAGCCACCAAAGAGAGACACGATTCTCTGTTATATAGAATTACCTGCATCATGCTCATTTTCCCTTTGGATAATCAAGGTTAGTTATGTTTTACATATGAAGTATGGAATTATGCATGATCTGAACCATAATAGTAAATTGACCAAGGTGTGTGTGTGTGTTGGGGTGGGGGGTGGGGTGAAATCCTACCTTCTGGTAAAGATAAACTTAGAAATGGGCAAAGACTTTTGGCTCTTGACTCTCAACTCAGCTTCAAGTTGTAGAGTTGAGAAATATTGGGTTAGAACATTGACTCTGACACCTGACTAGCTGTGTGATCTTGGGCAATTTTCCTAGAGACAATAAATAATATAGCATATATAAAATGTCAACTACTGGGCTTAAAATAAAAAAGTAGTTATTTGTAGTTCTATGAATCCTAGGAAAATCTATTTTACTCATTGATAAGTATTTTAAAACACTTTTAACCCTCGATTTATTATGTAGTAGAATGCTACAGTAACATACATTTAAAGATGAAACCCTAGACTTCAATAAAATTTGGTGGATTTTATTTTTCTGGAGGTGGTTCCAAGTCATGCTTCTGGACCAACTGAAGAACATACAGTCTTTCATACTGAGTTCCTCATCTGAACCACAGAACAAAGAAAGTGATTTGAGTGAAAAGAAAATGATCTGAGCCCTGGCTGGTTTGGCTCAGCAGTTAGAGCATCAGCCCACGGACCAGAGAGTCCCAGGTTCAGTTTCTGCTAGGGGCATGTGTCTTCCCCGGCGCCAACCGGGGCTGTGCAGGAGGCAACCAGTCGATGTGTCTCTCTCTCATCGATGTTTCTCTCTCTCTCTTCCTCCTTCTCTCCCTCCCGCTCTACCTGAAGATAAATGCAAAAATGTTCTGGGGTGAGGATTAAAAAAAGAGAAGAGGAAAATGATCTGAGCCCTGGCCAGTGTTGCTAAGTGGTTAGAGCACTGGCACTCACACCCAAGTATTGCAAGTTCAATTCCCAGTCAAAGGCACATTCCTAGGTTGCAGGTTCAGTTCCCGGTACTGGTTGGGGTGTGTGCGAGAGGCAATCAATTGATTTGTCTCTCTCACATTGATGTTTCTCTCCCGTGCCCTTCCACTCTTTCTAAAAATCAGTGGAAAAAAGATCTCAGGTAAGGATTAAGAAAAGAAAATTATTCGAGTGACTATTTTTTCAATTCTCCTCAAGACTGTACATAACTAGCACCATTCCAAATGCAATGGAGAAAAGTTAATATATTTACATCCAATGATGTCGAATGGCATCAGGGTTTAATTCTCTCCTGGAAATCCAGCTGTGAAAGCCTCCTCTATCAGCACCAGTCATTTAGTGGAAAATTTTGGGGTGTTGAGGAACCACTCAATTCAGGAAGTTAACACGGCCAAATTTGCATTTTAGACAAATCTTTCTAACAGAAGCAAAGAATTTACATTTGGGCAAGAGAAGGCTGGAAGTAAGACTAATTGGGAAACTCTTCACAGGCTAAGAAGGAGATACTAGAAATGCAGAGTCCCACCACAGCTAGCAAATATGAACTGAGAAACCACAGACAGGTTACAGGGGTGAGTTCTGCTATCAAAACTCCTGATAGTTTTGTACAGTTATACTCACAAATTAATAAAATGTAGGTTTGTTCATTAAAAATTTCATGGAAAGAGCTAAATACTAGTGCCAGTTACAGAAATAAAGAGAAAGTAGGGGGAAAAAAGAAAGAGAGAAAAGTGGTGATTCTTAGCTGAGAAAAGAAGTTTTGAATACATTGGAAAAATTCAGAATGCCTGATCTTTACAGAATCAATAAAGTTCTTTTCCATTTATACTTTGATTAAGGAAAGTATATGCTATAGTGATATTTGCTACTTTGGGGGTTTGAGGTGGTTTTACCTTCGGGGATGTTACATAGGAAAGGAATTAAATTAGAACCACTGAGAAGATAAAAATTATAGGGAAGTAGATTTCAATTCATTCAGCTCCTTTTAATTAGAGCTGTTCTCTCTTTACAAATTATGAATTCCCCAGACCATCTTCTGGGTGACGAGCTGTCAGGCATGCTGGGGGAGACATTCCTAATCTGTAAAATGTTGATGTTGACAGGTCAGACTAGCTGACTTCTACAACGCCTTCTAAATCCAAGATGAAATAATTTTCACTGTAGGCTACGGTTTCCTCATCTGCAAAATAAAGGGACTTAGCTAGATGATCTTTAAGAAGCTCTAAAATTCCTGGGTTTGCTTCTACCTAAACTGCCATAATCTCCTCACTTGGCTACATCCACTTGCATTCTGAACACAAAGCCAGAGGCAGGCTTAGGTGAATCACAGCCATGAATCAAGCCCTTCTCCAGTTCTAGATTCATCTAGTTACCAGAACCTGTAGGATCCAGAGTCCACAAAGAGCCGCGAGGTTAAATCATTTATACCCTGGGAGGCCCCCGGACCGATCTGGGGTTAGTTACCCAAAGAAGAAAAAAAAAGCAAAAAAAAAAAAAAAACTTTGACCACTTCCAGACATCCAGCCAGACTCAGCAGAGGCAACCCCCACCTTTACCCTATTTTCAGCCTAAAGTACTTGAGGATGAGTGAAAAAAATAAAAGACTTCAGGTATTCCTTCCTAGCCACGGCCTGGCAGTATACTGACTAGT